GACTCTTACCATGACTGGACAAACGTAGGGTCTTTCCCCAGAATGTGACCTCAGATGAATTTTCAAATTCTCAGCCCGTGAAAACCGCTTTTTCATCAAATTGTGCACCTGTGCGGCTTCTCTTTGGGTGTGTACGAATATGTACTAACATTTTATACCTGAGAAAAAAACAAAATTAATATGTAGAACTAAATACCTAATTGGATAAAATCATATTACTAAATTTGATATATGTAATGCAATATGTATTTTATGATTCAAATATCGCGCCACTACTGTCGTGTCGATTTTCCCTACTATAACTATGTATTCGTCATCTTAAATCTTTGGTAATGTAAAAATATGTGAAATTTCTCTTTCTTGTTCATGGAAAGCGAACAAACAACATTTAAAAATAAACTTAGTAAATTTAAAGGAAGCATTTTTATTTTACCACTAATGATAATATTTTTTTTGTTACCTTGCATTGAATCCCCTGTCGCTCCGTGGACAATCCTTCCAATGACAAAAATATTGGCCGCCTCTGCTCGCAGTCGCATGTTGGGTAGTCACGTGCTGTGCCAAATTATCGGGGGTGTCGAATTGTCTGGAGAAAAAATACAGAAATGATATTAAAGGGTGCAAATTTGGATATTGAAATTTAATGCCCGTTATTGTTTAGAATTGTCATTTACCTCTGGCAGTCGTCCCATTTGCAGACGAAGTTTTCGCTTCCGTCGTCGTCGACGCTGATGATGTCCTCCTCGCCGTTCGTGTCTTCCGATGTCACGATGCACATGGCGCCCTCTTCGTCCGATTCGGTAAAAGAGGAATTGTTGTAACTCTGAAAGATTAAATGAGAAGGAACTGTTAAAATGGGTCCTCATATTAAGGAATTATATTTTCCTTATATTATATATTTCCGAACGAGTGAGATTTTTTAAAAATTAGATCTCAAAATAGTCAACAATATCAGAACAACTACTGACACTTGTATAAAAAATCCTTTCAACATCGAACGTCTTAGAAATCTGGTTTATCAAATTAATTGTTAAGACTGCGACTCAGTTTATTTTGGTAAAACTAGCCAAAATTTAATAAAACGGCTTTAACAACATAAAAACAATTCAAAAAAATTCAATCAATTTAAAACTATGCTTACAGAACATATTAACTCATTAAAATTAAGTGTAAAAAATAATTATAAAATGTATGATGACTAATGTGCGTGTATACAAAGTTAACAAATAAACAATAAAAAAAAACTGACCAAAAGACCCATTTTGAAGAAATTTTATTCAAAAGACGTTATGGTGAGATATGTATATTAACTTCCCATAGAGTAGTTATAGTAATGGGCCGAAAATAGAAAATAAAATTTATTGCAATTCTCCACGTTCTGAAGGTTTCTGAACATTTTGGCAAACCTCAGAAAGAATGGTTGTGTGTGTGTGTTTTGTGAGTCTGCATTTTTTCGTTCACCTTTTCGGGCGCACGGATCACCCAATTTGAATGGTTCAAAAAACTATTGATTAGAAGACGCGCTGATTAATTTTTGGCCGTCTAGGTCCAGCCGTTTTGGAGATACGGAGCAAAAAGTCCAGAAAATAGAAATTGGATTTTTGAGAGACCGGATTATCCGATTTGAATGATCTAAAAATCATTCAATTCATAATGACGGGAAGAAGTGGTGATTAGTTTTTGGCAAAGGCAGGTCCAGCCATTACGGAGATACCGAGCTAAATGTGTAAAAAATTGCAGTTTTTGAGAGAACTAAACATCCGATTTGAATGATTCAAAAAAAATCCACTTGCGTTGACGAAACAAATGATTTTGGGTGAAAAAAAAATTTTTTTGAATACTGAAAATAATTTGAATTTTTTTCTATTTCTAGCTGAAGTTCTAAAGCTCAATTATATACTTCAAATAAATAATTGTAACTTTGCACTTTAGTTTATATAATTTCTTATAAATAATATACAATTCGTTTGATTAATTTTGTTTATTTACTTTTTTGTGATTATATATAAATTACAGTATTTATAATAATCTCTTTGAAAACATTTAATATTTCTCGAATTTTTGATTACGTTACGGGAAGTTCCAGCAAATTGTCTTAAGACACTATGCAATACACTACTAGTTGAATTTCATTTTGGTACATCTGAATGAAGGATAGGACTATAGCCGAAACGTATGGATTATATAACTAACAAGTATTGCATCATTTTACAATCCTCATTGAATTTGAGAATTTATAATGACTCTTTTTAGTACATTTGTTAAAGGAGGGTGTTTTAAAATCAGTTTAATGTTTTATAATACCTAAGCTTTATTAATTAGTTGTCAGTGAGATGTGAAAATGTTTAAAATGCAGCCAGTCTAAAAAGTAAGTATGACCTTAAATTTAATTATTATCTTATTTAATTTGTATTAATTTTATTTCTTTTAAATGTATTAATAGTGACCCTTTTGCACACGATTGGCACCTTATTAACGACATTTAATATTAACTTTAACGTTAATTTTATTAAAAATGTATGCATAATATATTGTGCACATATTTTATGTTTTTATTTCTAAATACGTTTTTTTCGCGATAAAATTGAATGTAAGTATGTTTTAACTATTTTTAATTCAAATTTAAATTTAGTATTTTATGTAATATTTTTATATTTTCATTACTTAATTAGGTAAATTATTAAATGAAGATAAAAAGGGGTGAATTAATGAACAACAAATAGTTTTCAATAGTGCTGATTGTTTTTAAATGATGAAAGTTATCGAATTAATATTTTTAGACCTGTTAGGAAAACTGTTTATTGTAATTTTTACTTTGAACAATTATATTAATATTAATTTGACATTTCAGAAAAAACAAAGAAATTTTTCAAATTGATTAAAATCAGTATTATATGCCAAGACAAAAGTGATTGTTTAAATGCTGTTAAGTGATGTTTTAATTGTTGAAAGTGTAATAATTATGTGGAAATTAATGTAAATGCAAAAAAGGACATTTATTTATAATAATTAAAAATAAATTTGGAGTCAAGATGGTCATTTTGGAGGATCAAAATACATGTAAGTGATACAGATGTAATATTTTTATATTTTAACATATATATATATATATATATATATATATATATATATGTATATGTATATGTATATATATATATGTGTGTGTTACCAGGAAAATATATTTTGAATAAATATAGAAAATTCATAGATCAACAAAGTTATCCTTACAAAGTTTTAGAACATTTTTTGTATGTAAGGATAAATTTGTATGGAAAATATTATTGATTTTTTTTTATTTTTCTATTCTATTATTCTTACCCTCGGCGAAATAGCCAATTGCATGTCTTCCGTAAAATCGGTGGCATTTCCGTACGTTAAGAAGCCCTGATTCCAATTTGGCAAATTATTTGTTCTCGGGGAATAATATAGGGGAGTTCCCATTCTACTGTGATATTGTAGAAGCATTTTGTCGAATGTTTTTTTTTAGATATATATTTTAGCATAAAACACTTGCTTATAGAAAATATAGTCTTGTAGATAATTATCTATACATATATTAATTATTTTTTATATCTTTTATATTTTAACATTAACATTTGACAGTTTTGATTGAGGTTAAGCTTTTGAACTTTTGTAATATTTAATTTCTAGAAGACACTGTTTATTATTTTATACAATATTTTTATGTATTGTAATATATTTATAATCTTTAAAAACCGAATATTTATTAGTTTTTAAATTTTTTTTGACAGTTGTACACTAACACTTTGAAAAATGGCGGTTGATAAACAATTGTTAAGTTTTATATATTATATTTTTACAAATTACACATATTATAACTTTAACCTGAAATTTAATGACAAATCCAAGTATTTTTGCCTATATATTACTTTTATTAAATATAATATTTGTTTTGTGAAATTTCTTGAGTTCTTAGATGACAGTTCAACAATGGCGTCGCACTTTTTATTTTAAATTTCAAAAATATTTAATAATATTTATAAAGTTTTTGCAACACCTTAATTGTTAATCACGTAGTTAATTTTATTGATTTTATGCGTAGTTTATTATATTTATATTCTTTAATAACACAATTTATATATTTTTTTTAGTTTTTTGACAGTTGACACTTGTCAAAATGGAGTTTTTTTTTATAAACGTTAAATTTAACGATTTTAAGTGACGGACAGGTTAATTTCAACTTAAAATTTAATTGTATTTCATAAAGTCTGTTTTATTAAACAGACTATTTATTTAGGATTATTTTTATTAAACATTAGTTTTGTATAATTTTTAAAATTCTCTATTGACAGTTTAACAATGGCGTCACACTTTTTAAATTTCAAAAATATTTCATAATATTTATATATAATTTATGCAACACTTTAATTTTTACACATAGTCAATTTTATGCTTTATTATAATCTAGTTTATAATGTTTATACACTTTGATATATTTATATTCTTTAATAACACAATTTATATAATTTGTGGAGCTTTTTTTGGACAGATTGACACATGTCAGTTTTCAAAATGGTTGCCTTTTTAAGAACTTAATATTTTATAAACAAAATTTTATACACACAATAATTAAGTGATAATAAATTTCAGCCTCAGAGCTTTTGCATGATTTAACTTAAAATATAATATAAACAATTTAATAGTTATCAGTTATTATTTATTATTAGTTTTAAAATTTTCACTTTCACACTTTATATTTTTGGTGTTGGCAGCAAATTCAAATGTCAGTTTTTATTTAAATTGTTTAAACACAAAATTATTGTTTAACAAGAACCACTAAACTTGCAACACACTTCAAAATACCCAATAATTACTATTTGTATATTATTATTATTATTATTAACATTTTTTATATTTTTATAATTTTTTATTATTTGCACTTTTGGGAGCACCCTGCGCGCACCCTGACAGTTCATGTAATGGCGTCGTCCTTGTCATAAGTCTCGTTTGTGTTAAATTTCGAATTCAATTTGACAGTTAAATTCATAAAAAATTATTCAACAAAGTGCACAATCACGTTTAAATGTGTTTTTTATATTACCGCCAATTATTTTTTTAAATTATATGTATAGTCTTTCCCACTGACGTTTACATACACAAAACCGGTTTGAATTCGCAAAAAGTTAACAAATCCTTTTCCTTCAGTGTTCGTTTGTGTTTTGTACAATGAGCATCTTCTCTCCGAAGCGATCCGGTATGTAATGTCCAAGTTTTACATAAAATTATTATATTTATACATGTTTTATTTATTTCTGTCGGCGTTATCGCAGTTTGAGGTTATATAGGTCTCGGGAATTGTTGGTTGGCCGGATCACTGATTAATTTGTTTTCTGTGCGTGATTTTATTTGAAGGGGGCCCTCTCTATCTGTGTGTGTTGTTTATGTAAAATACTGATTTGTGGGACTATCGTGTATCGAACTGGTTCGAACTGGTGAATTTGATAGTTTGTTATGGAATCGGAGCGACGGGTCATCCAGCGGGAAGGACTCGGGGGGCACCCGGAGACAAGGGAATTATTATATCATTTATTTCATTCAATTCAATTATTTTATATTATTTCTCAGTAATAAAGTAAAGTAAATAATGAACCAAATGTAAGTGATTTATGTAAATAATCGACTTAATCGATAAGAATTGATATTTACTAGCCATGTAGTTAAAACTTCTAACTGTCGATGCAATTTTCAATTGCCATTTTCAAACAAAATCATATGTAATTCTATTAATAAAATTTATCACATACAAAAATTTGTATTAACAAAATAAAGCGAAAAAATTGCTTTTCTAGAGTCTTCATACTTGAAGTAGCATACTAAGTTTAATAATTATGATTATTAAGATCATTAAGTTTTATACAAAATTATAATTTTTGAAGTAAAACTTCTTTAGGCGAGACTAGGGTGTAAATCCGTACAAATGCAACGGAAATAGCGTTACGCCCGAACTGTACGTCATTCGCTCTCGATGAAATCATTTCTATACGGGTCGATTGTGATTAGTTGTCGTGTTTGTGAATAGAGATCTGTCGTTGTATGCGTACCGACATCAACAAGGAAATCGGCATAGATAAATAAACATTTTAAAGTTACATCGTAGTACAAATCTTGATTTAATGAAAAATGCCTGAATCAGAAAAATATTTTACTCTGTTCTGAAAAGAATAAAACAATTTAAACATTTGTGCCGTGTACTAAACGTAAGTTTATTAATTAGACTATTCGTAGTTTTTAGGCAAAACAGATATTACAGCTGCTCAAAGAATGAGATTATATTGCCAGCAAAAAGTAAAAAAAATCCAAGCGGTCGATGAATATATGTTAATTTTAATTAACTTCCCGTAGGGCAAGTTATAGTAATCGCAAAAAAATCGAAAATGAAAATTTTTATATATCTTTACGTTTCAGAGGTTTCTGAACATTTTGGCATACCTTAGAAAAAATGGATGTATGTGTGTGTGTGTGTGTGTGTGTGTATGTGTGTGTGTATGTATGTATGTATGTATGTGTGTGTATGTATGTGCGGATACAAATTTTCGTCGACGATTTCGGGAACACGGATCAACCGATTTGAATAATTCAAAAAACATTCGATCCGTATTGATAAGGAGACGTGCTGATTAGTTTTTGGCAAAGGCAGGTCAAGCCGTTCCGAAGATACGGGGCAAAAAGTTCCGAAAACGGTAACTCAGTTTTTAAGAGAACGGAGCGTCCGATTTTAATAATTCAAAAAACATTTTATTTGTATTGACAAGATGAAGAATCGATACAACTTTCATGAAGGTAGGTCCAGCGGTTTCGGAGATATAGAGGAAAAAGTAAAAAAATGAGCCATTTGGCGGTCAAAAATGATCATTAGACATATGCACATCAAATTATCAGACATTTTATAGAGATTTTAACAATAAGTATACATTTTGTTAACATTCCTATCGGTTCCGTACCAATGCTTATGCGTAAGACAGCGACGCGGCGCTTACGCGCTTTATATTTTGTCCCTATGTAGTTAAAGCAGTACGATTGCTTTGAAAAAAAAGTTCAGATCTTCCACAATATGTCAAAATAAAGAAAAAAAAATTTTTTTCAAAAAAAACAAATTTTTTAAAAAAAAAAATTTTTAAAAAAAAAATTTTTTTTTTCAAAATAAAACTAATTTTTTGTCCAATTTATAGTTTCTCAAAAATCTTATTTTTTCAAAGTAATTTTTTTTCAAAAATGTTAATCGTTTTAAAAAAAAAATAATAATTTTTGGTACGGGAAGTTCCAGCAATTTGCCTTAAGGCACGATGCCCTAATTGCCTTAAGACAGAATTCCACTTACAGCTAGTTAATGAAGTTCTTCAAACACAATTATTACAATATTACATGATGAGTGAAGTTGCGAAAACAATATTTGTTCAGGCGTTGTTTAACATAATCCACTGTGTGAACGAATATTATAGAATTAATTAATCAGAAACTACTTCATTTTTCTAATGAAGGTTCATTTCTAAATTCTAATTACAATGACAAACCGATCATGTCATATTTGAAGTATGACTTTAATTACATTATCGTTTTCGAATATTATGAATATTTTTAATGCTATTAGAAATATATACTTTATAACTAATCATTATATAAATATGTATAATGTTTGACATTAAAAAATGTGTGCATCACGAGTGTTACCATATTACTAATAAACATTATTCAAAATTGTTATATGATGCATTTATTTTTAACTTTTAAAATGCCATCTCGTACGATGATCAAAAAAATTTTACTTAAATTGTGTGTGATCATCACACGCACTCTTTTTTTATATTCTGTCAAGGATTTTTAAAGAGCAAGGGACGAAAAAGGGACAAATTGAATACGGCGCACTAACATCACGGACCTGCCTTTAACAAATTGTAATAATATCAATAGTATTTCATTTCCTTGTCGAGTTATCTCATAATTTTTCGTATTTACATCAATACGAATACATCACAATTCACAATGTATAATTTGATATAATATAATAATACTTTGCTCTCACACTTGACTCAGAAGAAGGGTTATTGTACTCTCTCTTCATCATCACATCACTTCCTCGTAAACATGAAGACACGCAATTCGATTTGCATTTCGTATTCGAATCACAAATTGGGACCACCAATGACTTTAAAACATTTCACTAAATCAATGTCTAAACTTCCATTGTCAGGTACTATGATCTAGTTCTTTCCTATACTGCACCTAATTAGTACACAATGTCAATTGCAAATTGAAAAAAATGCAGAAAATCATTGGCTTCCCCGTACATGTTTGAAGCCATGGAATTTGGATAACATATCCCGGGTTTGATACCCTTCATTGGCAGCCTGATGTCAAGGAGTATTGACATAAAGTTTCACTTGGAAATATAGATAACAATGTTTCCAAGTGAAAATAGCTCTTCCTCCGACGCTGCTGTCTCAATAGTAAAAATTCACTATTACAGAAATAATAAAAATTATCACAAAGATCTGGTTCCTTAAGTCAAATTATCACAACATCATAGGACACTTAAGACCTAAAGAACGTATATGAAAAAAATAATATTTGGATCAACAAACCATAGTGAAGAGGAATTATTTGGAAGCTGATAACTTAACTCTATTAACTAATTGAAGCTTTTTAAGATATAATGTAATCCTATAACACGTGCATATGAATCTAAGATGTACCAACCCACTTTTAACGTGTCTATGTTTTTTTGGTCAAGATTTTATGTCCTTGATGAGCCAAACCCCAAATATTGCCTTAGGCCTATTTTCGGATAAATGATATTACTAATTATTGATACAACGCGGACGAAAAAAATGCGGATGATGGCCAACTTAAGCAAGTGATAGAAATACCAGATATGCCTTCTAGCAGAGCACCAGATATAAAATCACCTAAGCCCCAAAACAGCAAAAAGTTGAGTCGACAAGAAATACTTGAAAATGTGTTACTGATTTTTTACTAAGAAGAAAAAATACAAGACAAGAGTGGTAAATTTGACAATAGTGCTATTATTCAGGAGAACAACAGTAATAAAATCATTCAAGTCTCACATCAGCAAAAAAGTTGTATTGACAAAGAAAATAAAACTAATATAGTGTTATACAAAACTATAATAGTTGCAATATGAACTTAGATATAGAAATAAATCGAAATTCTGTGGTATATGCATCAAGCATAGACAATACACTACATGGACTGTTAGTCCTCATATGTTTTCCGTTGTAAATAGTGCTCTAACATAGAGACTGTGTGACGTCATATGTCTGAGCGAACATTGCCGACGACAATCGCGGACTCCCCCGATTGATCAAATGCCACATGTCATATGTTACGTGCCTAACATTGACTTTATAATATATAAAGCGATTTTAGCAGGTGGATTCGATTCTATATACATTTATTTCACAGGGAAAATATTATTGATATAATTTCTTACAAAATTATCAGAAATCACAATTGCCATTATATATGATATTTAATCATTCGGGAGTGTTCAGCGATTGTCGTCGGAAATGTTCGCTCAGGCATGTGACGTCACATATGTTTGAGGACTTATTTTGCGCTCGACTTAGCAATCCATGTAATAAAATATTAAAAGGCAAACAAAAAAAGGTAAAAGACAACAAAAAACATAATTTAGTCCTTATTTTTTACAAGTTTCGACATCGTAGAAATTAAAGGTACAGTCTAGAAGCCTAGTTTTAAAAGTATCACAGACGTGGGATTCGAACACGATCAGTTTTGACTTTCTTATCTACTAACGCGAAAGAAATTGCGGTGACGCGCCAACCAACTCAGCTATAACGACATGCTCACGCGCAACGTTATGAGCGGATTTCTAGGATCTAATCGGAATTTTTGCACTTTTTGCTCTATATCTTCAAAACGGCTGAACCTGCCTTCGTCAAAAACTAATCAGCACATCTTCCCATCAATAGGAATCGAATGTTTTTTGAATTATTCAAATCGGTTGATCGGTGTTATCGAAATCGTCGACTAAAATTTGTATCCGCACACACACACGAACTCACATACACATACACACTTCGTCCATTTAAAAGATAGGTATAAAATCAAGTTAAGAATGATAAAAATCTAGATCCTTCCTCCACGAAGTAATACTTAACGGCGGTTTCCGTTGGGACCAAAGGCAAGGGCGGTATTGAGTCGATATACCCAGACAAAACACCAGTCTGGGATGCATAGAGACATTTCCTTCGCTATACAAAAAAAAACACATATACAGACAACATACATGCATTTTTTTACAAGGTATGCCAAAATATTCAGAAACTTCAGAAAATTTTGATGTTCCATTTTTTGCGTTTACTATAACTTACCCTACGAGAAGATAACAAGTTGATGATGTCATCCAAAAAAGGAGTTAGAAAATGTGAAATCCACTCATGCAGGAAAATATACTTTAAGGAAAAACTACCAAAAAAAGAACTTTTATTAGCCTCGTTGATATATGTCTTAACTATTAGCTGTTCTGGATCTTAAGATTATCTGTTAGCTGGTAATCTAATATGGATCCTTGAGGTTCTGATTGACTTTATTGAAGAATTGTGAATAAAATATATGATGTCAATCGATTTTTCTCAATTTCTCGATCTTGCCGGACTTCGTCTCGGTGTGGTCGTGATCTGTGTCTCGTACGGTCAACGTCGAACCGGATCGATTCGGTTCCGTATCAGCGAGTTCAACTTGCTTTGAACTTTTGTTTACCAGATTGTATTATATATATATATATTACAGAAAATCAAATACAAAAATCTTTATCGACTGCCAAGCACATACACACACATGGCGAATAATTAACGAGTTCGAAAACCAGACTCTCGTCAATATAGAGATAAAAAGATGCAGTAACAGAAGGAGATGTTGTTATAGTTAATGATGATGCTGTTTTAAGAGGTACTGCTTGGTTAAAATTCACTTTTTGCTTCTCGAACTTTTGCTTTGATCACTAGCTATCTTAAAACAGCCAAAATATTTTTATGGTATAAAAACCATTGTTACAACTGCTGAAATTTTTCTCTTACTCGTGCAGAGCTCTTATTTCAAATTTTGCTCGAATCTCGAAACACCCATTTACCACCAATTTGAAATAAAGAGATTTACAGGACTGTCCTGGTTACTCATTTACCAGCAATTTGGATTACAGAGATTTACAGGATTTTTTTGTAAGTCTGATGGGTGCCACTGTATTTTATCATCTCGCCCAAGTTGTCTATATCAGTCCTTCTTTCTGATATCGAGTGTGTGTATGTTTGTGTTTGATAACTTTACTTACTATTTGTTCAATTTCATAATAAGTCGAAGATAAGATTTAATGGCGAGTGGAAAGACCGATTCCTCGTCCGATTTCAAGAAAATACCGGATTTCTAGTTAAATGAACCGTTCGGATGAATTCTGGGAACAACACGACCATGTCTTTATCAGTAAACAACAACTTTGTCTAATTAAATATAGACAAAATAGAAGACATACATACACACAGAAAAAAAGAGTGTGCGTATGGTTCACACGCGATTGAAATAACACTTTTTTGCTATCGTACAAGATGGCATTTAAGTTGAAAATAAATACATCGTATAACAATTTTAAATAATGTTTTAAATAATATGGTAACACTCGTGATGCACACATTTATTAGTGTCAACCATTATATACATTTATATAATGATAAATTATAAATTACATATTTATAACAGCATTAAAAATATGTATAATATTTGAAAACAATAATGTCATTACAATTAAAGTCATACTTCAAATATGACATGATCGGTTTGTCATTGTAATTAGCTTTTAGAAATGAACCTTCATTAGAGAAATGAAGTAATTGCTGATTAATAAATTCAATGATATTCGTTTATACAGTGGGTTATGTTAAACAACGCCTAAACAAATATTGTTTTTGTATCTTCATTCATCGTGTAATTGTTTTTGAAGAATTTCTTGAAATTAAAATTAAAATACATTCATTGACTGCTTGTTTTTTTACTATTTCGCTGGCGATACAGTCTCATTCTTTGAACAGCTGTAATAACTGTTTTGCATATAAAAATAATTTCCATTTTAATAACCACAAAAATTTATAGTAATTTACAATTATGAATAATACAAATTACTCCAATAAACTTACGTTTCTTACACGTCAGATTTTTTATTTCTTTTATTATTTTCACTATACAATCAAAGCAATCATACTCACGCGACACGACGACCAATCACAATCGACCCGTATAGAAATGATGAATCATTGGCACTCAACTCGGCCGTAACGCTCTTTCGTTGCATTTGTACGGATTTACACTCTAGTCGCGCCTAAAGAAGTTTTACTTCAAAATAGAGGCACTCACAGAGATACACACATACTCAATTAGAATAGAGATTAACCAACAAAATTTATCAGGATAAAATTTTGAAATTTTGATACGGTTTGTTATTGCAAAATTTAAGGAGTTTTTATAGCTAAACTACTTTTCGTAAGCTTAAAATATTTAAGGATGTTTGTTGGGACAATGATTTCTATTGCAATTTCAATTTCTATTGAAAAAACGGCCCGGCCGATCTTTACTAAAAACAAATCAGCACTGATATCTTTTGGATGGTCAAAATCGATTCAGAATTTTTGACCAAAACGTGGACGAGAAATGTTTTGGCAATTTTCTGCTAACCAAATAAAACAGCTCGTCCGATCGTCTCGCAAAACTAATAAAACAGCCCTTATCAAGTTTCATCGAATTTTCCCCAAATTTTAGAAATCATCGCTTCCGTTTATGGGAATCTCGATGAGAGGTCAAATTTTGGTGTCAAATGATTTCAAATGACTTAGAACATGAAATTTCTTGGCGAAACACTAAACTTAGAAAATTAATAGATATCTGATATTACTACTGCTTGATATCAAGCTGGCCAATGTAGACATCAAACCCATGGCTATTTCTTAAATTATTCAGTAGTATTTTTTAAGATGTTGCTTATCATTTTGTCTTATTTTAGTTAAAATGCGATAAAATCCAGAAATGAGCGCGGGTCGTGGCACTTGTAATCTTTCGACATTTCGAACATAATATCGATAAATTGAGTCGAAACCGGTCAAAAGCGGTTGAAAAGACGAAAAAAAATTATATATATAGAACGGTCGAATCATCGTGACAACGATATAGTGTTTATTTATTCCAGTAGAGATATTAATTTGTGTATTATCTAATTATTAAAAATATTCCACTGGTACATGTAATAATAATAAATAGGTAGAGGACCACAAATCAATTATTTTTAATTTTTTCTGGTAGACCGGTAGACAGATAGTCATATAGACAGATAGACAGGAAGACAAGAAAACCCGTAGACTAGATGTATCAAATATGCATTTTGTTCAAATTTTTCTTTGATAATAAATTTTTTTTCACAAAATTTTTTTATGAAATGTTTTTTCCAAAAAAAAATTATCCCCAGAAAATCAAAGACTATAGTCCATGGTTTTCCCCAAAATTACATTAAATCTCAATCGTAAGTTAAAGGGTTAATATTTTTATTCCAGTTTGCTCGTCAGTAGAGTTCTTTTTCTGCTAAATGTCTTTTATTTCAGTCGATCGTCAGTCGAGTCCTTTTTCCATTTACTCTCTTTTATTTTAGTTGGTCGTCAGTAAAAAGCGTGGATGCAACTGGTATAAAATTAAAATTTAAATTAGAATGTCAAGGGGGCATCCATTAATCACGTGAGGCTATGACAAAAAATCACGCGGGGGAGGGAGGTGTCTAGTAAGATATCATGTGTATTTATTTTTACCTAGATTTTCAAAAAATATTTACTTTTTTCACATAAATTCGAAAGAAATGTTCCAAAAATTTTGCGTAACTAAAAATATATCTATTCTAAATTCTAAATATCACAACGAATCACCAAGGGGGAGAGGTGTCCAAAAATCCTTAAAAAATCGATTATGTGATTAGTAAGCCCCCTAATTTATTTTTAACTTCCCGTAGTTATTGTAATGGGCCGAAAATCGGAATTGAAATTTTTTACATTTCTCGACGTTTTGAAGGTTTCTGAACGTTTTGGCATACCTCAGAAAAAATGGATGTGTGTGTGTGTATGTGTGTGTGTGTGTGTATGTATGTGTGGATACAAATTTCCAGTCACGTTTTAGGGCGCACGGATCAACCGATTTGAATGGTTCAAAAAACATTCGATTCCTATTGATAGGGAAAAGAGCTGATTAGTTTTTGGCAAAGGCAGGTCCAGCCGTTTCGGAGATACGGAGCAAAGAGTGCGGATAATAGAAATCGAATTTTTGAGAGAACGGAGTATCCGATTTGAATGATCTAAAAACATTCAATTAGTAATGATTGGGAGAAGTGTTTATTAGTTCTTGGCAAAGGCAGGCCCAGCCATTTCGAAGATACGGAGCTAAATATGTAAAAAATGGCAGTTTTTGAGAGAACTAAGCGTCCGATTTAAATGATTCAAAGAACTTTCTGCTTGTCTTAACAAAATAATTTATTTTGGAAAAAAAAATTTTGTACCAATTTTTTTTTTTTTTTTTTAGTTTTTTGTATATCGAAAATATTATATTTCAGATTTTATTTTATTATTTTATATTAGACAATGATACAATATTTATAATAATCTATTTGAAAACATTCAGTATTCAACGGGAAGTTCCAGCAATTTGCCTTAAGGCACGATGCCATAATTGCCTCAAGACAGAATTCCACTTACAGCTAGTTTGTTGTTTTTTTTTCAGATAATGTGGATCTGATCACTAGCGAAGTCTCTCAGGATAATTCTGATGCAGCAGTCGATGCTGATGCACAAAATAATGTAAGTGTATAATAGTGAAATATTTGAATAATATTTTCCTATTAATTTTTCATTCATCTTTTACCCAGAAAAAGAACTCCAAAGATGGGAAGGATCCTTTCTTTGGCAAGTTGCCCAAGGAATATGTCCTCTCTGTGGATCCACGATCAGGAGACATCATCGGAAGCATACCTTTACCAGATGCACCAGTAAGAAAAAGAGATGATACCAGTGATGTCGAATCGGGTTTGGAGCAACCTCCTCCTTATTCTTCTCCGCAGATCATGGCACAGTATCTGTTCTCGGAGGAGAAGATCAGGAAGAACTTTTTGAAAAAGGTAAGTAGAGGAAGACTTATAACATTCTGCAAGATTTGATGTTATGTAATAGTTATATTAATGTTTGTTTGGTTTTTTAGGTTTACTGTATATTGTTGACTCAACTGCTGATCACCTTTGGGTTTGTCTGTCTTGGAGTGTTTGAACAAAATGTGAAGCTGTTCGTACAGAAAAATGTCATTGTTTTGTAAGTGAAAATATGTAAAATATCAAGTTTAACTTCTTCAATAATAATAATTGTTATTTGTAATTTTTAGAATAGTGGCATTGGTTTTATGCATTTCAATGGTGATCATCTTGGGTTGTGTATCGGAACTGAGGAGAAAATCACCTTGGAATTATATTTGTTTGCTAACGGCAACTGCATCGTATAGTTATCTTGTTATGTGTATTGCCAGCATATATGAACCTCATTATGTAAGTAATTAACGACAGTAATAAATAAGATGTAAAATCACTTACGACTATATTTGTATAATCTCTCATACCAGATACTTCTGTCTGACTGAGTTTATACAAAATATAAAATATTATATATAAAACTAAATGTATGAAAAACAATATATGGTTTCTAGGGTGGTCCTTAATATGGACATTTTCGATTTTTTTGCTGCCAAGGGCTCAAATGCTTCCAAAGTAATAAAGACAAATTCACTCAAAGTTTTAGCTTTTAATATTAGCATTTAGACAGTCCGCAATTCAATTAAAAGTTGCGTAAATTTATTATTAAGTAAATTCTTGCGCCATCTGTGATAACATTTGTGAACTCAAATATTACGACACTTAAAAATATTTATAAACCACCTAATCCATGTGGGCTGTTTAACGAAATATTTATTCATCCTGGCATCAAAATTAATTTTGCATCAAAATATTTATTTAATTGGTGATGTTGACACTCAAATTATCAGCAATAAATTGCCATCAAAATTACAAGTCTGCTATCACAGATGACGCTAGAATTTACTTAATGATATGTTTATAACTTTTAATTGAAGTGCGGGCTATCTAAATGTTAATATTAAGAGATAAAACTTTTAGAAATATTTTATTTATTTATTTGGAAGCATTCGAGCCCTTTGGAGCAAAGAAATTTGAGAAGTCCATATTAAGGACCACCATAATGGTCCCATCCTTGCGGCATTTTCTTGTAGCGAAAACATAAACCTGGTTTAAATATTTATTAATACCAAATTAAATTTTATACTTCAATTTATCATCAATATATGTTTAGATAATATTTAAATAATCAAAATAATTTTATCGATATTAGTTTAGTATTTTTGGTTGTACAATATATAATAAAGATTTTTTTTTCTTTTTAGGTAATGATGACAGTCGGTTTAACCATTTTAATAACAGTTAGCTTGACACTATTCGCTTTTCAACCGTGGGTCGATTTTACAATTATGACAGGATTTTTATTCATTATAACATTGATGTTTATTACTTTTGGAATTCTTACATTGACACTACCTCACAGTAAGTAGAAATTAGTACAAATTCATATATATATATATATATATATATATATATATATATACAGGGTGCTTCAAACAAATGTATACACACTTTGAACTTCCATAGAAAATTTATTTACCGTTCTACAAAGTTAAATTTCAGGAAAATAGAAAGCTGAAAGTCCAATGTAAATGAAACATAAATAACAAATCTTAATAAAATGAGGTGTACAAACGTAAACCACGTAACCTAGACATTCTTTGGAATGAGATTCAAGCAGTGTGCAGAGAAATCTTATTGGACGTTTTGATACGATATACAGAATCAGTGGTGACTCGTACTCAGAATTGTATTGATGCTGCAGGTCACCAATTTGAACAGTATTAACATTTGTTATTTATGTTTCATTTACATTGGACTTTCAGCTTTCTATTTTCCTGAAATTTAACTTTATAGAACGGTAAATAATTTTCTATGGAAGTTCTAAGTGTGGATACATTTTTTGAAGCACCCTGTATATATGTTTATATATAAAATTCTTCTGTACCGGTGTGTGATTTGATACTTCTCCTAAACGGTTATTCGGATTTTGATAATTCTTTTTAGAGTTTGTCAAAGGAAATGTTTAAGATTTAATCAACAATAAAATTATAGTAATATTGTACAAATAATTGGGAAAAATGACAAAAAAACACTTTGTTTGTCATTGAAAACATTTGACCTGTCATCTGCTAGAAATATCAATTCACTTGAAATTTGAATTTAGCTGAAATTATGAGCCTAGATAATATTAGAATATAATATTCGAGAAAAATGTAATGTCGAAAAGCAGCCGAGTTGTGCCAAAAATTAAAATAATATAAGATACAGTCAACAGTATATTGTTTGGCAGATGAAATTATATAATTCAGTTTAATAAATAACACAATAAGTTTTATTTTAGGTTTACTTTACTAAATTATTTAACGATACAAAAAAAAATTTTACTTATTAAAAAGGATTAATCAAAATGAAAAAAAAAGGATTTTTAAAGAAATTGTAGAAGTTTATAAAGCCTTTATTAAACTGCCAAACATTTCCATATATTATTCTATATCATCTTCAGTGAACTACAAATGAAAAACAGAAAAACAGAAGAATATTTTTCATTCAAATGTACAAAATAAGTATTAACAAAAGGATTGATACCTGTTCGCTTTCTGAAAATTTAAAGTTATATTTAACAATGTTTTGAAAATCATTTTGTTAGAATAACCATTTTGTTTCAATAAGATTAATTTAATTTAAATAATTAGATTTGAAATTTATATATATTTTTTGCGTAGTTCTTGAATAATTTGTGTAGTGAATAATTAAAGATTAGTATTGGTATTTGGATATTTCTTTTGATTTTAATTATATAATTAAAATAATATAAATAATTTTTTTTTTTTAATTAGTATTTTTATCTTTTATATTTATTTGAGTTCGAGGAACATTACCTCGATATCGATATGATAAGTTAATGTATTTAGCTTGAAAAAGATTTTTACCTATTTCTTTAAATTATATTTTAATTATTTTATCTTTTAAATTATTATTTATATAATAATTATATTTAGTAATTAACTATCTAATATATCCCGTGTAATTAATTAAAGTTAATAGAATTTAATTCTATCTTATATTTTCAAAATATATGCTTAATTTCAAGCTCATTAACTATAATAATAAATTATCTCATTTATAATAAATATATGGATTAATTAAATAATAAGAAAAGTATAGAATTGTAAGAATTTGTCCTGTAATAATATAAGGATCTATTATAAAATTTGTAGTTCACTGAGAATGATATAAAATAATATGTTGAAACATTTAGCAGTTTGAAAAAATTATATAAACTTCTACAATTTTGTCTTCAAAACATACAATCCTTATAATTTATACAGAGATAATTGCACTTCTAAGAGACTTTTTGGTGAAAGCTGTTTTATTTTTATTAACTTTATATATAAATATATATATATATATATATATATATTACTATTATCATTTTTCTAGATATCGAGACACTCCACACTGCCTATCTATGTCTCGGAGTCCTACTCTTTGCCTTTTACATTGTCTACGATACACAATTAATGATTGGTGGAGAGCACAAGTACCAAATCTCACCCGAGGAATACATTTTTGCAGCCCTGAATCTCTATCTGGACATTGTCTACATGTTTTTGTATCTTTTGAGACTCGGGAGGAAATGATTTCTATGTTTATTGTAAGTGTAATAAAAATATTTTTGTACTAAAAGTGCTTTTTGAAAGTATTAATAGACTAGACGATTAAAGATGTAATGAGTAAAGGAAATATTATTTTTAATTAAATTTTTTAATTAGTTTAAATTAATCTGAAAAATATTTTTGTGAGATATTTATTATTATTGAGCACCTCTTCAAAAGAAATTTTTTATTTGCTTTAAATTAGTTGAATGCAACTTTGAACTTGTTTACTACAACTATTATGTTATTTGAGAGAACTATAATTATCATTTAAGACTATCTTTGTGTCTTTTTATAATTTTTAAAAGTTGTTACACAAGGATCTGATTTTTTTAAACACTTATTTTATGCCTCTTTAAGTTTTTAAAGAGTTTGTAGCATAAAAATGTGTTTTTAGCTAATGCTCCAAGTAATTACAATTTAGTTTGCTAATAAATTTTACAGTCCGCATTTTTTTTTTTTAAGTACTAATAATTTATGTTTATTTAGGTTAAGTACTAATAATATTTGATACTGTTTCAGTTTTTGTACCAGTATTAATATTTATTATTCATTACATCTTTAACCAAATAGTATTATTTAAAATATACTATTTGTTGTTTTATAACTATAACTATAAGTTCTAGGTATTTAAGTAACTAAAAGTAAACTAGTAATTTCTTAAGATCGTTTTGTATTTTTGTACTTTTTATAATAATAATTGTCGTTAAATTTTAAAAAATATTCTGTGTTTGCTTTTAGTTAATTTAGTGTTACAACTTCAATCGTGAATTGTTTTTATGTGATTTTGCGCATTTGTTTATTATTTATCTTGTAACTTTTAAACGGTTTGTCGGATTCAAGTGAAATATTAGACAAATTTGTTCAAAATTAAACCATCTACAACATTTTTTAATAACACGATTCCGTAGAGCAACTCGGTATACTCTAAAATTGCTGTTGAAAATAGCATATTGACGTCAATGGGATTTTGTGCACGTATTTAATTTTTCAGTTGTAACTTTTAAACTGTTCGTTTGATTTAAGTAAAATATTCGGTAAATTTGTATAATATTGAATTATCTACAACATTTTCTAACACCACAATATCCTACAGCAACTCGGTATGCTTTAAAATTGCAGGTAAAAATAGATTATTAACGTGCATAAACGATTTTAGTGTTGCGACTTGAATTCTAAGATCTCGTGCACGTGTTTATTTTATCAGTTGTAACTTTTAAACGGTTTGTTTGATTTAAGTAAAATATTCGGTAAATTTATTTAAAATTAAATTATCTACAATATTTTCTAATATCATAATGCCCTAGAGCAACTCGGTATAATTTAAAATCGTATTTGAATATAGACAATTATTGTGAACACGAACTGTTTTTATTTATAACATCTCCTTATGATATTTGAACAAATTATTAACATTGAAAAATGTTATTTTTAATAAGTCTGGAATAATACGTTTTGAGTTCACATTTGATTCATCTTTAGTGGCTAAAACACAAAAATTATTTAGAAACAAGAAAAATACATTAAATTAAATGAACAATGTTGTTAAAATGAATGAAGAGTATTTAATTATAAACAATTGAATTATGCTTTATATTTAATTGATATCCAATTAGACTAAAATCCATCTATTGTTTAATATTATATCATTTATACTTCAATTAAACATTTTTTTATTATTTTTCATAAGCATTTTGTTTATTAAATGTGGTTTTTGTGTTTTCCAAATAATTTTTATACTTTATACACTGAAGATGGATGAAATCGGGATTCGAAACGTGTGGAAATTTATTCAAAAAAAATATGAAAACATATTTTTTCTTTCTATTATTTGAAGAGACCTTTAGACTAAAATTCGACAGTCGAATATAAATAAACCAGGTATAAGTGGCATTTTGCATTGATACCCTTTATATAATATTTGGATGGATTTTGGTTAAAAAACATTTATGTTTTTATTTCTATCTGTTAAAATTATTACTCTACTCATGTGATATGATAAACTTTAGATTTTTTATTCATTTGCTGCCAAGTTGTCGAAATAAATAGCAATAAATAATTAACTATTTTTATCATGTACGTTTCGACACTCTAGATGTGTCATCATACAAAACGTTAAAAAAATAATTACAAACTTAAAATAATGTAATATTTGTATTTTTTTTAACTTTGTAAGAAGTAAAATATTTTTTGTAGAAATTGTCAACATGCTGAATGATGACACATATGCAGTACGAAACGTACATCATATAAAGATTCATTGTTTATTATTTTTTATTTCGACTATTTGGCTGCAAATAAACATTTCAAATATACGATACATTTCAAATATATGTATATATATATATATATATATATATATATATATATTATATATATATATATATATATATATATATATATATATATTAATTTAAAAATTAAGCACTTACCATTTTTATTTTCAATTTAATTAATTATCCTCGTTTGATTTCTTTACAAATACACCTCACATTTGAAAACTTTTTAAGAAAAAAAAATTCCCTTGAACTTTTATATTTATTATATTTATATACTAATCAAATTTATAATTATTTTAACAGTTATTTAAAATTTTATTTATTTAAAATTTATAATTAATTATTAATAAATTATGTCGTCGTTGGATTAACGGACGTAGTGACTGACTAACTAAATAGACTAAATGTGAGTGTTGTAAAAATTTCGACCCTCCACGGATTCGGCGAGCCACCGAGGGAACCACGTAGGGACCCACATGTATGAAAATTACACACACACACAACACTATCGCATATCGAAACTAACCGAAAACTAGTGCTGTCCGACCGACGTTAGACAGAGGAGAGATTTTATTACAGTTATTGTAATCGTCCAAAAATCGACAGTGAAAATTTTTGCACTTCATTACGTTTCAGAGGTTTCTGAACATTTGGTAAAGGTACCTTCGGATAAATTGATGTGTGTGTGTTTTTTATGTATAGCGAAGGAAATGCGTTTATGTATCCCGGACTAGGTCTTTTGTCTGGGTATGTGGAATTCAATACCGCCTGGGTATGAATAATACCGAATAAAACCTCCGCTTTGCCCTTTGTGGGGTGAGGATCTAGAATGTTATCATTCTTATCTTGATTTTATACTTGTCTTTTAAATGAACGAAGTTCTCTCGCAAATCTGTCTGTGTGCGTGATGATACAATTTTTTCTCGACGATTTCGGGCGTACGGAAAAACCGATTTGAATAATTAACCTCCCGTAGAGCAAGTTATAGTAATCGCAAAAAATCGAAAATGAAAATTTTTATATATCTTTATGTTTCAAAACCTTCTGAACATTTTGACATACCTTATTGTTAGTAAAAATGGATGTATGTGTGTGTATGTGTAAGAGCGTGTATGTGTGTATGTGCGGATACAAGTTTTTGTCGACGATTTCGAGAACACGGATGAAGCGATTTGAATAATTCAAAAAACATTCGATTTGCATTGATAAGGAGACGTGCTGATTAGTTTTTTGGCGAAGGCAGGTCTAGCCGTTCCGAAGATATGGGGCAAAAAGTGCCAAAAACGGTAACTCAGTTTTTAAGAGAATGGAGCGTCCGATTTAAATAATTCAAAAAACATTTTACTTCTATTAACAAGATGAAGAACTGATCAAATTTTTATGAAGGCAGGTTTAGCGGTTTTGGAGATCTAGTAAAAAAAATAAAAAAAAATGCCATTTGGCGATCAAAAATGATCATTAGACATATGCACATCAAATTATCAGATATTTTATAGAGATTTTAACAATAAGTATAAATTTTGTTTACATTCCTATGGGTTCCGTACCAATGTTTATTCGTTAGACGGCGACGCAGCGCTTACGCGCTTCATCTCTATGCAGTTAAAGCAGTACGATTGCTTTGAACAAAAGTTCAGAATTTCCAAAATATTTCGAAATAAATTTTTCTTCAAAAAGTCTTTTTTTTTCAAAAAAAAGTAAATTTTTGTCAAAAATTTATAGTTTCTCAAAAATCTATATTTTTCACAGTAATTTTTTTTCAAAAATGTTAATCTTTTTAAAAATAAAAAAAATTTGGTACGGAAAGTTCCAGCAATTTGCCTTAGAGCACGATGCCATGCGCCCCACTAGTTTAAAAAACATTCGATACCTACTGATAGGCAGACGTGCTGATTAGTTTTTGACAAAGATAGGTCCAGCCGTTTCGGAGATACGGTGCAAAAAGTGTAGAAAATGAAAACACGGTTTTTGAGAGAACCAGACATCCGATTAGAATGATTTAAAAAGTATTCGGTTTATATTGACGGGAAGACGTGCTCATTAGTTTTTGGCAAAGCAGGTCCAGCAATTACGGAGATACGGAGCAAAAAGTGCAAAAAATAGCAGTTTTCAAGAGAACGGATTATCTAATTTGAAAAACTTTTTGCTTGTGTTGATATTGTGAGGAATAGAAAAAACATGAAGAACCTATATCCTCAGATGGATTCATTCGACACCTCTTGCCAATGTAAACATTCACAAGAGTTTTAAGCGATAAGATCGTCACTGTATATGAACGATAAAACATATAGTGATTATAATTATCTATTTGAAAATTTATAAAACAATTGTTGTTAATTATTGATCAATATTTATTTATTAACTTCCCGTAGGGAAAGTTATAGTAATCGCAAAAAAATCGTAAATGAAAATTTTTACATTTCTGGTACAAGGTACAAGGCTTTACAAAGGTTTCTGAATATTTTGGCATACCTTAGAAAAAATGGATGTATGTGTGTGTGTGTGTGTGTGTGCGTGTATGTATGTGTGTGCGGATACAAATTTTCGTCGACGATTTCGGTAACACGGATGAAGCAATTTGAATAATTAAAAAAACATTCTATTTGTATTGATAAGGAGACGTGCTGATTAGTTTTTGGCAGAGGCTGGTCCAGCCGTTTCGAAGATACGGGGCAAAAACGGTAACTCAGTTTTTAAGAGAACGGAGCGTCCGATTTCAATAATTCAAAAAACATTTTACTTGTATTGACAAGATAAAGAATTGATCAAATTTTCATAAGGGCAGGTCTAGCGGTTTCGTAGATCTAACAAAAAAAGTAAAAAAAAATGCCATTTGGCGGTCAAAAATGATCATTAGACATATGCACATCAAATTATCAGATATTTTATAGAGATTTTAACAATAAGTATAAATTTTGTTTACATTCCTATAGGTTCCGTACCAATGTTTATCCGTTAGACAGTAACGCGCTTTATATTTTGTCTCTATGCAGTTAAAGCAGTACGATTGCTTTGAAAAACAGTTCAGATCTTCCAAAATATGTCAAAATAAAGAAAACATTTTTTTAATAAAAAAAATTTTAAAAAAAGTAATTTTTTGTACAATTTATAGTTTCTCAAAAATCTTATTTTTTCTAAGTAAAATTTTTTCAAAAATGTTAATCGTTTTTAAAAAAATAATAATTTTTGGTACGGGAAGTTTCAGCAATTTGCCTTAAGGCACGATGCCTTACTTAATTGCCTTAAGACAGAATTCCACTTACAGGTAGTTACTGATTTTTTTCCCTCGAATATTTAATTCTGGTACGGAAAGTTCCAGCAATTTGCCTTAGTTCAGCTCTTTTTCCCTCGAGTATCGAACTTTATCCCTGGGGCCTCTAGTTCCTCCTTTTGTCCGTCATCTGTCTGTCGGACAGCACTAGAACAGATGCTCGTTGCGCCGAGGGGGACCTCTTGTCGAAAACGCAAAAAAAATTATAATACTATCAATTCTCTTTTACAACAATATACAGATATATATATGTATGTATGTATGTATGGAATAGATGCTTTTGCGTAACATATGCCCTGATAATGATACATACACACATGCATTCGTACGTATAATTAAAAGTGAGTATGTGTGTATATGTGTTTGTATCACAGGGGGAGGTCTCCGTTGTTGAATTTTGCCAGCGTCGCGTTGGTCTAGTTTAGGGTCTCTCTTCTCTATATCGGGCAACGGGGCACACCGTCATCAATTTATTATACGACAGAGACACCACACAGGTATATTATATATTTATATACATATTTTGGTATGCATACTAGCTGACCCTGAAAACACTGTATAAAACTAGTGGGGTGTATGGCATCGTGCCTTAAAACAATTTGCTGGAACTTCCCGTACCAAAAATTATTTTTTTTAAAATGATAAACATTTGTGAAAAAAAATTTACTCTGAAAAAATTAGATTTTTGAGAAACTATAAATTTTTGACAAAAATTTACTTTTTTTAAAAAAAAAGACTTTTTGAAGAAAAATTTATTTTGAAATATTTTGGAAATTCTGAATTTTTTTCAAAGCAATCGTTCTGCTTTAACTGCATGGAGACGAAATATCAAAGCGCGACTAGACCTGCCTTTGCCAAAATCGAATCAGCACATCTTCTCATCAGTAGGAATCAAATGTTTTTTGAATTATTCAAATCGGTTGATCCGTATTCGCGAAATCGTCGGCGAAAATTTGTATCCGCACACGCACACACATACATATATTTTTTCTAAGGAATGCCAAGATGTTCAGAAACCTTTGAAACGTAAAGATATATGAAACTTTTCAATTTCGATTTTTTTGCGATTACTATAACTTACTCTACGGGAAGTTAACTAGTGGTGCACGGCATTGTGTCTTAAGGCAAATTGCTGGAACTTTTCGTACCTGAATGAAAATTCGAGGAATATTAAATGTTTTCAAATAAATTATTTAAAATAATATGACTTTATTCTTATTTTATGAAAAGTAAATGGACAAAACTTAATCAATCGGATTTAAAATGAAGGACATTGTCTAATATTTATTAGAATTATATAAACTGAATTGCAAAGTTAAAATCATTTATTTGAAGTATATAATTGTAGTTTAGACGCTTAGTTCACTCAAAAACTGCCAATTTTTGCACATTTAGCTCTATGTCTTCGAAATGGCTGTACCTGCCTTTGCTAAAAACTTAAACACTTTTCCCAATCATTACTAATTGAATGTTTTTTTAGATCATTCAAATCCGATACTCCGATATCTCTCAAAAACACGATTTGTATTTTCTGCACTCTTTGCTCCGTATCTCCGTAACGGCTGGACCTGCCTTTGCAAAAATGGGGATCGAATGCTTTTTAAACCATTCAAATCGGTTGATCCGTGCGCCCGAAAACGTGGACGAAAAAATGCGGACATACAAAACATACACACACATCCATTTTTCCGAGGTATTCCAAAATGTTCAGAAACCTTTGAAACGTGAAGATATGCAAAAAAATTTATTTTCGATTTTCGGCCCATTACAATAACTTACCCTACGGGAAGTTAATTAATAAAACTGCAAAACTTTGAAAAACTGAGATTTTTAAAAAATTTTAAAAAAAATTGAATGTTTTGAAAAATTAGATTTTTTTTATATTTTGATTTTTTTTTTTAAATTTGAATATTTTTTAATCAATCGCGCTGATTTGGAGCCGAAATATCAAAGCGCGTAAGCGCCGCACATTCGTCTAATGTGTAAACATTGGTACGGAACCCATATAAATGTACACAAAATTTGTACTTATTATTATAATCTTTATAAAATATCTGATAATACGATGTACATATGTCTAATGATCATTTTTGAGCGCCAAATGTCATTATTTTTTACTTTTTTTATTGGATCTCCGAAACCACTAGACCTGCCTTTCTATAAATTTAATCAGTTCTTCATTTTTCCAATACAAGTACAATGTTTTTTGAATTATTAAAATCGGATGCTCTGTTATCTCAAAAACTGAAATACCACTTTTGGCACTTTTTGTCCTATATCTTCGATTTATATAATTCATAATCAATCACAATATTTTTATCCATAAATATGAAAGCATTCTACTTATTTTAACTGAAGACTTTCTTCTTAGTTTTAACAAGATGAAATTAATAGAATCGATTTTAATTAGAAATTCAAAAGCATCACTTGCATTAAAGTGAAATTTAAGTATTAAAAATCATTTTTCTTTTAATGGATCTAGGGACTAAATACTTTATCTCAGGGGCTCTAAAATTGCATTTCAGTTTCAACTAAAACCACAATTTAACAGTTTATTTCTTTATTTTTGAAAATATTTCATATCTTACACATCAAATATTATACATACATATAAAATCTTTCAACGTAATTCTATATTTATATCTGTATCACTTTAAACATAACTCTCATTAATTAATCCATCACAATAATATGCTTCCAAATAATAACATTTACATTTCGGCCTTTAAAAACAAAATCATAAAAAGTATATCATACCCGAACTTGTGAACAATTATACATATATATATAAAATTACAAATATTTATTTAATTTATGCCTTCTGCAAGTACTCATCGAACAAGTACAAAGCTAAAGAGGGCTCGCTGTCTTTGATCAATTTCTTTAAATCGTTTGTGTAACCTGATAATTGCCTGATTGTGTTGGCTTGTTTGTGTGCAAACTTCTCTTCGAGGTAGGAAGCAGTCTGAAAAAAAATACATAATTAGATAAATCGTAATTGATATATGGTATTAATAAAATGTACCTCTGCATCATGTCTGTCATTATTGTGTCCGGAGTTGGATACACGTTTGTGAATAGCCTGGACATCCTTAGCGAGCACTTTCTCATTCTCCAAAGCCCTGGCCAAACTTTCCAATTCTGATGTTTCAGCTACACGAGTAGTGTTGACATTGTGAGTAGTCCTAAAATAAAATAATTATAACAATATTGTTTCCATAATATAAATATTTTTCTATTTTTCTATTATCTTACTGGAAGTCGACAGTGCCCCCACGCTTGGTGATGTATTTGATGACATTGATTGCGTTTTCCCAAGACTTGTCGGAGAGGCCCTTGAAGAGTTTTTCAAAGCCAACACGATTCTTTTCATAGTTTCCAAAGTGTGTGGACATCAGCAAGTAGTCGTAGGAGTATAGGACTTCTCTTTTAACGTATGATGATAAATCGGCAGCCACAGTGTGGAAACCGGAGTAGAGAGCGTTACAATGGGGGAGATCCTCTGGAAAAAAAAGGTAAATTTAAAATATAATATGTATATATATATATATATATATATATATATATATATATATCATTCTGTAATAATGTATGAAAGGATACTTCTCCTAAACGATTATTCGGATTTTGATAAATCTTTCTGAAGTTTGTTAAGGGATTTTTTTTAGGATTATTTGATTTATAGAAATACAGTTAGATTGTAGAAATAAATGGAAGAAATCACAAAAAACCGCTTTTCATTGTTTGACATTGAATATATTTGAAGCATTGTTTGAAAACAAATGAAAACTGTCATTTGCCAAAAACGAATGAGCTAAGACAATATTAGAATATTGTATATTCAAGATTATGAATATGAAAAATGTAATGTCTCTATTATTATTGCCGAAAAGCAGTGAGATGTGCCAAAAATTAAAATAATATAAGATACAGTATATGTGTTTGGCAGATGAACAGTCTGTGCATGTGTCTGACGGTTGTGTGCTGTCAGTGAATATACCCTATATAATTCAATTTGAGAGATTATAATTTTTGAACTAATGCAGTCGTGTTTTACCTTACTTTACTAAATTACAATACAAAAAAATTTACTTTTTCAAAGAATTATTTAGAAGTTTTATTGTGTCAAAAATTCATATGTTTGGCATTGGATACGGAATATTTACTCAAGTCAATGAAGCGTTTTGGGCCTGATTTTTTTTTACTGTGCCCCAATTTGTATGTATTTTTGGAATTTCGTTGATCTTACTTTCAAGTTCAAAAGCGAAAATAATTTAGACTCCTTTGCCACTTCCCCGGGGGATGATATCCCTTCTTAGTAGAATATTTTTATTTTAGTAGTTAAAATGTTTGGAGTGGACAACCCTTGATAGAAAATAGTAATTTGAAGCAAAAAGAGTTGTATTTTTTTTGTCAATTCGGCATTAAAAAAGTTAAAATAAAGAAAATTGATGAATTTTTGGAATTTAACTCTAATAATTTAGACTCCTTTGCCACTTCCGGAGGGGATGACATCCTTTCTTAGTAGTTTTTTTTTATTTTAGTAGTGAAAATGTTTGGAGTGGATAAACCTTGATAGAAAATAGTATTTTGGAGTAAAAAGAATTGTATGTTTTTGTGAATTCCGCATTAAAAAAGTTAAAACAAAGAAAATTGACCAAAAATTAAAAAAAGTATTAGGGTTGGGCAAACCCTAATAAAAATAAATTGTATTTTAAAGAAAGATTCAAGCTTTTTCATTAAACTTAAAAATCTAAACTAAAATTATGACAAAAATATTCAATGGGGATAAAAAATTCTCGAATTACTAAAATGTCTTTAAAAAAAATAGGAGTTGGTGATAAAAGTAAAAATTACAGGTTCATAAATTATAAAAAAATGAACAAAAAAAAAATCGTCCAGAAATTGAAATAAAATATTTAAGGGTGAACAACCCTTATCACTTAAAGGTATGAAAAATAGATAGTACTGAATACTAATATAAAATTTGTTAAAAATCGGTGAAGCTAGCAATAGTAGAAATTCGAACCATTCATTGCAAGTACAAGCAATTCTTTGTAGATGGAGAAACTATTTCAAAAATATAATTCAAGTACAATTGAAATATTATTAGTCATACATAAAATGCATTTATTACAGTTTTAGTGTTTTTTTTATGTAAGTGATGCTTGAAATTATAACATCGACAAACTATATTCAGTTATGCTCATAGATATAAATTTTTATAATAGAAAAGTAATTAAAGAATTACTCTAGCAACAATTAATGCCGATTTTCTTGTTGCAATAATTTTAAACAGGAATATTGTATTATAATTAATATATTATGTTGAATGATATAATAAAAAGAGGAATGCATTTATAAATACATGGTAATAAAAATTACAATCTTAAACATACATAAGGTAGCAAGAAAGTAATTAAAAAATGTAACTAGATATATATATCTGAAGTCGATAAGTGCTTGATCAAAATGCGGTAAATGTACAAAGAATGCTTTTTAGAAAATGGTGCTAATAATCAATAAATATAAATTTACACACATCTATCTAAGGCCACAGAAAATTGTACTTAAAACATAAACCTGGTCAAACGATTATGTATTAAGTTTATAATTTTGCCTTCTTTAATTTTTTTTTTTTAAATTGAAGATTTTATTGTAAAAAACTCATATTGTAATATAGAGTCACCTCATTAAGTTCTTGTTTTATTTAAAATTTGTTGTAAAATACATGTAATATTAACCAATCTTACATATAGAAAATATGTAAAACTTTTGTAACTCCTATCCATCTATCGAATATATAATTTGATAGCGTTTGACTTTACTTCCAGCTTGTAATAATATTATATATATATATATATATATATATATATATATATATATATTAAATGTTAAGTATGAACAATACAACACTCAGATTTTTAACACACATCTTATTTGGTAATTACAGATGTTCCGAGACCATGGTATGCCTCATCTTCAATGTAATTTCAAAACAGTTACTTATATACTTATTATAATAATACCCATCCTGTCTCTTCATCTCGATACTTAAGATTTGTTCAAATTATTTCTGTATCTATTCACATATTTTAGTACTGTGTCAAGCTCTGCAAGAGATGGTTGGTGTTTTTTGTATTTTCAAAAATTAAATGTGATTTAAATAAAATATTAAAGAACGTGTAGTAATATAAGTAACTGTTTTTGAAATTACATTGAAGATGAGGCATACCATGGTCTCGAAATGACTGTAATTACCAAATAAAGTGTGTGTTAAAAATCTGAGTGTTATATTGTTCATACTTAACATTTAATACTCGTTCTACTCATATCACAAAAATTTATAATATATATATATATATATATATATATATATATATATTATATATATATATATATATATAAAATATTTAAGTACAAACTTACCCTTATTGGCAGTCGATGAACAAGCAGTAACACTTTCATCGTAACAATATTCAGCGTTTGCAAAACCTACAGCCAAAACGGCCAAGAGCACCAAAGACTTCATCTTATCTAACTAAAAACAAAAAATTCATTAACTCTTAATAAAAGACATTTTACATGCGACGCAGTTGTAACAAATTCGCCATTAACACCAAAATATAAAAAATGTTTAAGTGAAATTATTACAATTAAATGAATTAGATACCTGTGTTGGATAATTTTCTAGAATAGTTTTATGGAATTATTTGATTTGAATACACTTTAACTGTGTGACAGTCTGTATGAAGGACTTTCTGATAATAAATGTTTTTGATGGAAGTGTACTGTTTTGCGAGGAGGAAGGGATGAGTGTTGAAACGACGTTGTGTTGGTACTAGTGGGGTGTGAACTTGATCGAAATATTTTAAATTTGTAATTGAAATATATATTTTGATTATTTTAATATTATATATATATATATATATATATATATATATATACTAGATGACCCGGCAGACGTTGTTCTGTAACCACGTCTACAATTCAAAAGTTCAGAATTTTTTAATATCTTATCATATACTTTATAATAATAGGATATACATATATCCTATTTGATGTCCTTACTTTGTGATTCATTTACTTTACTTTCATTACTTTGTGGCATGAGCAGTTATAGAAATTCAGAAAAAATTATATAATATCTGCTATAAAAGAACAATATCACACTTGATTTTACCACACAACATAATTGCTTCAATAATTTAGTCTATAATTTTTCATAATCTCGTACGATATATTAGTCACTTTTTGGCAATTATAATTTCCAAAGTACATTTTTTTACTAATAATTTAATAAACATTATTGTTTATGTTCAAATCTTTGGTGAATTAATTTGTAAAATCTAGTTTGTATGATGCACTCTTCAATCTAAGATCAACATGCTAAACATTCCATATCCGATGCCAAACAAATGAATTTTTTACACATGAAATAAAATTCTAATCATTTTCTAATAAGTAGAAATATTTCTTTGTATTGTTAAATAATTTAGTAAAGTAAACCAAAATGCGACATGCATAAGTTTAAAAAAATAACATTGCAATTTTGGACTTGTTGCGTTATTTATTAAACTGAATTATATAATTTCATCTGCCAAACCATATACTGTTGACTCTATCTTATATTATTTTAATTTCTGGCACATCTCAGCTGCTTTTCGGCAATAATAATGTAGACATTACATTTTTCTTGTCAATTATATTCTAATAATGATCTTGTATATCTAAATTCAAATTTCAAGTGAATTGACATTTCTAGCAGACGACAGTTCAAATGTTTTCAATGTCAAACAATGATAAGTGTTTCTTTGTAATTTTTGCAAATTATTTCTGCAATATTACTATAGTTTTATCGTTGATTAAATTTTTAACACTTTCTTTGACAAACTCTAAAAAGAATTATCAAAATCTGAATAACCGTTTAGGAGAAGTATCAAATCATACATCCGCACAGAGGAATTTTATATTTAGAAAAAGTATTTTATATACCATCTGATTAAGATATTTATCAATATAATGAATTATTAAAATGCAATTAGACCAAAACAACACAAAATTTATTAATATTTCTATTTTATTAAACATTTTTTCTATACAATGTTAGTTAGTAATAACGTGAAGTTAGTAATGAGTACATTTTATAACAATACAAAAATGTTTATATATGTTTCTTGCTTACTATAAATATATAATTAAAATAGATTTTAATTTAAATTTTTATTAATTATCCGAAGAAAAAGTTTGATTTGCTAATTTTATGTTTTTACGACGTTTCAAGCCATTCTGAATAGAATGAGACAGAATTTGGAAAAAGTGTGCGTGTGTAGAGTCAATTTCTGACGTTTCGTCGACGTTTTCTCAAAAACGGCTGGACCGATTTCAAAAATTTAAAAACCATTTGATGTATCTCGATGAGGACTAGCGTTTCTCAGTTTTGTGCGACGATCGGCCGAGCCTTTTCACAGAAAAGTGAAAAATATATCGTTCGCGTCCCCAAAATCCTTAATCAATTTTAAAAACTCAAAAACCTTTCAAAAAATATTGGTTGGTGAAGATCAGCCGGGCCGTTTTCTTGTAATTATTATTATTTTTTTTATAAAAATCGGCGACTTTTATGAAGAATTTCTTAACGACAAATGGATTTTTATAGAACATGCTAAAATATTACTGACCCTTTGACTAGCTGTTTGATTTTAAAAATGCATCAAAGTTTGAAAATTTAGATAGTCAAAACTTGTGTCGATTTGAATTTTACAAATTCAAAATCCATTGAAATGAATTCCATAAGTCATTTTTTGGAATTAGGGAAAAAGTAAATAAGCAGTCTACAAAACTTCTCAAGTTGTGTAAAAAATGTTACCATTAATTTAAACTAGCGGCGCGTGGCATCGTGCTTTAAGGCAAATTGCTGGATCTTCCCGTACCAAAAAAAAAATTTTTTAGAAAGATTAACAATTTTGAAAAAAAAATTACTCTGAAAAAATTATATTTTTGAGAAACTATAAATTTTTGACATTTTTTGAAAATCGAATCCGAACACACACACATACACGCAAACACACATACAGTCTGGGATGCATAAAGGCATTTCCTTCGCTAGACAAAAAAAAAACACACATACGCATACATCCATTTTTTCTAAGGTATGCCAAAATGTTCAGAAGGTTTTGAAACGTAAATATATATAAAAATTTTCATTTTCGATTATTTTGCGATTACTACAATTTGCCCTACGGAATGTTAATAATTAAATAATATCAAGGCAATAATTATATATTTTGGGAAGTTCATGCAACTAGCCTTAAGGCAAAATGCCACTTTCAACTAGTTAAATTTTGTATTGATAAATTTGTAAAAGTTTTGGATGAGCATGAAGATAGTTAGGTAGCAAGGTACCAACTGTAAAAGTGTCCTTTTAATTTTCATAATGATTTAAGTATAATAAATACAAATCTAAAGCACAATCCGTATTAAAAATAGTTACTTTAATAATTACATTACGTATATTAAATTATACATCTATTACCATTATCGTCGATATTATCCTTTTACCCCACTATATTTACATCGACTTGTTTTGACAAGTCACGGTTCCAAGTACGTCGTTAGCACCAGTCATATTGTTCTGTGACACACGAATTCGAGAATTATAAAGATAACGAGAAAAATCATTCGGCATTCTATTATATTCCATCGATGGACGATTTTAATTTCAATTTGAATCCTCTTATCGATTACTAATCTTTTGTACAGTTTAATATTTATTATCAAGGCCTTGTACGCCAGTGTGTGTAAAGGTCTCTTCAGTCGACGACAGAGGATAGAAGTCAGAGGACATTTATAATACGCAGTTTTTAAGTTTTTTTCTGGTGATTTTGAATATATTTAAAGAAAATGAAGAGGTTTTTGGTTGCTTTGGCGATTTTGGTGGTCGCTGCTGAGGCTAAGCTGTCATGTAAGTTTTAGGTTAATAGATAAAGTGACTTGATGATATTTACTAAGTAATAGGTTATATTTATTATTGTTCTTATATATTTCATTATTTTTAGCTACTGGTTTTGCATTACAAATTATACATCCACTTAGCTAAGAGCTGAGCTAACTAATTTTGTAGCAGATGATTTTTTTCTGTATATGGTGATTACTCGGATAAGTTTAAAGATGTATGAAGAAAAGGTCTGAATGATAAGTGCACTGCACTTTTCTTTCGTGTACATTATTACCATTTTAAATGGTGCAGAATTTATTCTACACACTATGTCCTTTTAAGTCTTTAATCTAATCTTTAAGTCTTCTATGACTGTATAAAGACTTTATATCAGAATTTAGTCCAATAATATCTTTAAAACTGTTTGAGAGAGCATACAATCTTTCCAGTTATGCATTTTTACAGATTTTTATGGATGTTAATTAAAGACTCTAGCAATGTTATTTTTCGGAATTTGTTCTACACACTATGTCCATTTTTGGTACTAAATTTTCTTTTAAGTCTATCTAGTTTTGTCTTCTCTGATTGTATAAAGACTTTATATCAGAATTTAGTTCAAAAATATCTTTAGAACAGTTTGAGAGAGCATACAGTCTTTCCAGTTATGTATTTTTAAAGATTTTTATGCATTTTAATTTAAGACTTGAGTAATATTAGAATTTTCATACCAGCTAAGGTTGAGTTCAAATATTACAATGATTACTTAAAGACTACCTATGAAAATATTGTCAGAATGGAATGACAAAACCTATAATCTTCTCGCCTTTTAATATTTTCCATGTACAAACAATTTTTAAGAACTTCTTAATGAAAGCTTGAGTATTATCAATGCATTTTATACCAATAACAATATTCTGATTATATAAAGGCCACATAATGGAATATAATGAACTGCATTGATAGAACATAATATACTTCTCGGTTCTGTAATTTTTTTTATATATAATGTTTCTTCAAACTTCTCAATAAATGCTCGAGTAATGTCATGAAGTTTCATAAGTGAAATTGTTACGACAATTAAGTTGTTGTAGATAGTTTTTGTACAATACTTTTCTAACTATTTGAAAGGTATAACTAGACTAGTTAATACTGCATTTTAAATTATTAATTAAACAGTTTTGATAATTTTTGTTTCACAGTTATCAAACATGGCGGATATTACTATTTGCAGTTTGTTATTAATTTTGACAAGAATATAGTAATATTTCTGATATTTAACTAAATACGTTATTTAAGGTGTTCGCAATACTTTATCAAGTATTAATAAAGAATGATTTTAAGTTTTTTTTAGCGAATTTAATACATTATTCAAATTTTGATTCTTCCTTTGCAGTTCTAGTCTAGTTTTGACATAGATTCAGGATTAATAATGTAATTTTAAACGCGATTTATAAATTAAAATGCATGCAGTACTTTTTAAAATCACTTGTAATAGCTAATACTAGTTTACTTTGTAGTTAAAATATCAATTTTTTTATCTGACAGTTTTCAAACATGGCGGACCTGTACTTTGCGTCCTGGTGTTGACAATATTATTTAATATTAGGCTCAATTTATAAATTAAAGTACATGCAGTACTTTTGTAACAATTAGCTACGGATAATATAGTTTTTCTAACTATTTTAACACTTAAAATTACGAACGAAACAATCTGTTTTATTTCATCATTCTGACATGTTTTCAAACATGGCGGACCTGTACATTTGCGTGCTGGTGTTCACAATATTATTTAATATTAGGCTCAATTTATAAATTAAAGTACATGCAGTACTTTACTAATAAGAGTTAATTTTGTTTTTCTAACCAT